TTTTGAGGGAGAGAGAGAGAGAGAAAAAAAAACCCACAAATGGGGGAGGGACAGAGAAGGGAACAGAGGATCCAAAGCAGGCTCTGTGCTGACAGCAGAGAGCCCAATTGTGGGGCTCGAACTCACGAACCATGAGATCATGACCTGAGCTGAAATGCTCAAGTGACTGAGCCCGGGAGGCGCCCCAACCAGTTCTTTTTCTTTTATTGTGGTAAGGGCATTTCACATGAGATTTACCTTCTTAACGGATTTTTAAGGGTGCCGCTAAGTATTATTATCTCTAGGCCCTGTGTTGTACAGATCTCCAGAACTAATTTACCTTGCGTAACTACCACTTTATTACTGGCTCTTTATAATGACCCTGTGAAATGCATATGATTTTGAATTTCTACTTTACATGTTGGGAAGCTGTGGTCCACAGGTTAAGACATTTACTTGAGGCACATAGCAGGTAAGTAACAGGGCCCAGACTCGAGTCTTGTACTATTTGACCCCAAAGTCCTTCCTCTTACCATTCTGGTCCTTGATCTTATTAATGACGAGGGGAATGTGACAGGCCGACGCTCCCTCCTCCATGCCCTGCATAGTGGGCCCGTGAATTTCTTGTCTTTCCATGGTAGGAGCAAGAGGTATTCATTCATTATGGGAGGGAGTATTATTTGTCTGACCACTTTGCAAGACAGTTTGACAGCAGCTATTATGTTGAAAACGAATATAATATCCTGTTGACTCCAAAATTGACTCTTTAAGACATTATCCTTCGGTAATTCTTAAAATGTACACAAAGGCATCTGTAGATTGATAGTCAATGCTGCCTTGTTTGTGGTAGCATCTGATGTAACACACATAACCTAAATTCATCAAAAGGGATTGGCTACATACATTTTAGTACATCCATATACAGTCATCAAAAAGCATGAAGGGCCACCTGGCCAGCTCAGTCGGTAGAGCATGGGACTCTTGATCTCAGGGTTGAGAGTTCAAGCCCTACTTTGGGCATGGAGCCTACTTTAAAAAAAAAAAAGAAAGAGAAAAAGAAAAGAAGAAACGAATGAAGGAAGTTTCTATGTTCTTATATGGAACAAAAGCAGAGATTCGAAGTTACAGCAAGGTGCAGAACAATGCGGTGGTGTATTATCACCTGTTTCAAACCCTGCGGGATGGAATATATGTAATCACACACACACATACTGATGCATGCACCGGCTACCTCTGGAAGGACATAAACAAAGCAAGTAACAGAAGCTGCCCAGAATTTTGTCTTGGAAGGACTCTGCTTGAGAGTCCTTGAGAGGGAAGTGCTGGGTTTGCAGTGGTGTCTGTCCAGCCAGGAGCCCGTGCTTGCCTCTCAGGGTCATTGGAGGGGTCTGTGGATGTGAGTAATAGACGTGTCCCCCCGCTACGTGCCCACCACAGCCACCCTGCCCTGGATCATGGCAGACTTACTTTTTACTACGTAACCTTTTGTGCTGTTTGTTTCTTAAAACCCGGGGCATATATTATCTCTTTAATAATTTAAAATTTAAAATTAAAAAAAGAGGAATTTCTTGCCTGAGGCAAGACCCACCTAAGGAATGAGAGATAGCCAGGCTGCAAGTGGAGGGGACCAGCATTGGTGGGTCCAGGCGGGAGACCCTGAGACGGCTGGACCCCTGGCCTCTTCCACAGCACGTGCAGGACCTCGGGAGCCTCTGTCCTCTCCCTTCTGTGACCGGCAGCTGGTCATGGCTTCAGAGGCAGCTTTTTGGTCAAGGTATATTTCAGTAGCTTCACTGAACTCAAGTTTCTTCACTTCTGTAGGACTGTATCTCCTTGCTTCTAAGATGGGGATAATACGTGTTTCACAGGGTGGTGGTGAGAATCAAGGAGCCGATGCTGGGTGGTACACAGAGAGAGGACAGGACAGTGTGGAGACCCCTCCACGACCTTGGCAAATTGGGAAAAGCTTCCTGGTGAGGGATCAAGGCAGCACACGTGGAAGTGGAAGGAAGGGCCCATATTTGTTCAGTTTTTGGAAAACTCAACCCAAATTTGCTAGCACATAACTCCTTATCCATATCCAGGAGAAAGCAGGCCTCCGCCAGTCATGGGCTGAAAGTCTTTCCCTTCTCCCTGGGGTATCTTAGGTCAATCCCCTCTAATCATCATCCGGAGGGTAATATACACTGATTGACTGAAGTCAGGATCCCCAATCAGTCTCCTGGGTGAGGAACGTGATACCACCTTAACGACCTTGGACTCATCAGGGCAGCCCAGCAGGTGAGCTGAGTCACGTGACTGCTGAACAGTGGGAGGAGGAAAGAGATGTTTGGGGGAGGAGCCAACCATAATGACCATGCTGGTCCCCTAGGCCCAGGTAACAGTGACTTGGCTGGACATTAAACATAGCTACACAGAGACCGTCCATCCAGTCACACGTCTATTCTTCTGTCCAGTAACTTCTCAAATGACTACTGGGTGCCAAGTACGGGGCCTCAGGCTGGAGATGTGACGGTGACCAGCGGCCCTCTGCCAAGTCCTTGCTTCCTTCAAGGTTTTGCCTGTGCCCCCCTTTGCAATGAGCTCTCCCCACCTAGTCTGGCACCTCATGCTTTCACCCGCACCCCCACATCTGCTCTACTTTTCCTCTTTCCCAAAGCACTCATAACCTGCCAACGTGCTATGTAACTTATCTATTTATTAGGTTTCTTGCTTATTGGCTGTCTCTTTTTACTAGAACGTAAGCTCCACCAGAGCAGGGTGGTTGACTTTGTACCCACTTGACTTTGTACCCACCGATACCTCTGTAGCCCCTGGCCCCCAGCAATCGCTCAATGAATAGTTGTTGAATGACAGAAACTGGCCGCCCCCCTTGTGTGCTGGTGAGTGTTTATGCACCTGAAGGGCAGGGGGAGGACTCAGGAATCAGGTCACCCCCAAACCCAAATGTGTAATTACCAGCAAAGATCGATTCTATGAAAGAGTACTGGCCACAGTGCGTCCGCCCTGGGACTCCGTGACCATGCTCTTCAGGAAGTTGTATTTGAGCAAAGCTCTGAAGGATGAGTAGGAGTTGGTTGGGGGTGAGGCAGTAAAGGATAAAGCAGGGGGCTTCCTGCGGGAGCCAGGTGGCACAGAGGGCTCCGTGAGGCGGAGCCAGGCCCGGGAGCTGTGTGGCCTGTTCAAAGTTTCAGATCACTTTAGTAAATGGAGAGTGGCGGGTCCTCCCGGTGAGGGACAGACAGCCATGAGGTGTCAGAGCCCAGGCAGCCTGCCTGAGGGGTGACACGCGGCTCTCTCCCTGACTGGGCCGCCTTTTGGCCCTCCACACACCCCAGCATCTCAGCACCAAAGCCATTCCCAGCCAGAGGCCCTCACTCAGTGCCAGCGTTCTTGGGCCCGCTGCCCACCATGTTGATGACGGAGGGCACGGGGGTGGGGGACGGTGCCATGCAGATTCAGAGCAAGGGCTTCCAGATCTGCTGTTCTGGGAGAAAGCTCCGTGCAGTTTCCTTCCTCTTTTCTGGTTGAGGAGGGGGCTCAGAGGAGAAGGCGCTCATTCATAGTCACGCAGGGAGAGTGTGTTACAGCTGGAGGGAGGCTTATGGACCAGGGATGGCCAACACAGGCTTAGGCAGAGATCACAGTGACCTTTGACGCCCAGGCCTCAATCCTGTAGACTTGTTGGGGGCCAACGCCTCCCAGATGCCCCGCTGAGTGGTTGTCCTGTGTCATACCCGTTGTTGCTTGCTCTCCGGCCTCCTGCTGATGCTCATGGCCCCTTCCCAGGGGGGCAGATCTCCTGCCAGAGCTGAGAGGGGAACAGCTCTCTTTGCAGTGATACTGAAGCTCTTTAGTGGAAGTCCTCAGGCAGTTTTGTTCTTGCCATTTTCCTGGACTCTCCTCTCTCGAGGAATCCGTACAAATGACTCAGGACTAGGTCCCCAGATAGTCCAGACTATGTGTCTTTCTCCAAGCCAGTTAAGCCAGTGCTCCCAGGACTGGTCTCAGGCACCCGCAGTCTTGCCTCAGGCTCAGGTTCCAGCTTCCCTGGGCACTTTCTGCAGGCGTGAGGCAGCCTCAGTCCCAGGGCTCATTTTTTTTTTTTTTAATTTTTTTTTTT